TGCACCTTTTTTACCGACGCCATTATAACGACACAGATCACTGCCTATTCACGAGTCCCGCAGAAAAAAGTGATTGACAGGTTGTAATTATGTGTGTAACTTACCTTTATTCATTTACTGTATGATTTGTTTATGGGTAAAACAAAGACCATGCAAGTCAGGTAGTTTAAACGGTGGGCTACAAATAATTAATTCGTTATTAATTAATTAATTATTCATAATCGAAAATCACATCGAATCGTGACTTTAGAATCGAAAATGTAATCGAATCGAGGATTTGGAGGATCGTGACACCCTTAATGAATATATATATATATATATATATATATATATATATATATATATATATATATATATATATATATATATATAAATCTGTATGCACCACGCTGTCAGTTTCACTTTTATTAATTAAATCAACTACTTTGACCACAATGAGCCAGGATTTACAAACTATTCACACCACTTAAAGTATTCCCCTCGGAAGAATAAACTCAGTTGGAAGGATGAAGAACCGAAACTTATTGTGAGAATAATTTTGTGGAGTGGCGCATGTCGCATATGCCCAGCCGGTGTGTGAATGAAGCGTCACAGAGACTCAGTGTGTTAAGGATCTGTCCAATCTATTACTGAGCCTTTTCTAATTTAAAGTTTTAGGTAGGCTCACTTTGTTTGTAAAGAGCAGATAATAACCCTCTCCACTCCAGTATTGCAAATGCAATCTGCTGATCAAACAGACACACGTGATTTAGAAACAGCAATGCACTCCTTGTTGCAGGTCAAAATGAACCCATTTAATGCAAAAATAGCAACAAAAAAAAAAAAAGCAAAAAGATGTATTTCTCCACTAATTATTTAAACTAACTGGAACAAATAGTCTTGGGGAGTTTATCTTGTTGTCATGAACGCGACATGCAGTTTGAATTGTAAATGAATGGAAAATGATTGATAGGCGCAACGATGCGAAGCGCTGATTTGAACATGAATTTAAGCACTTGAATATTCATCTGTGCTTCACATTCAACTGTAGAATGGCTTCAGAACATTTGGGATAAAGTAGGCATACATGACAACTTTCTAAGTCCTTATAATAGGCTACCTTCATGGCTTAGTTGGCTTATAAACACAGAATAAAGCGCACACGCACAACCTGATTTGGATCGGTACCAGCTGTCCGATACCTGATCCAGCAAAAACAAGCGGTATCAACCCGATATCTGATCCAAGTATCGGGATCCGTGCATCTCTAGTAGAGCTGTGAACCAACACTCATCTCACAGTTCGGTTCCGATTATCATGTTATCGATTCAGTTCAGTTCGATATCTCGGTGCAACACGGTCACGGTGCATTGTTTTATATTTTCTTCGGCCGCAATTCTTGTATTAAAAAAAAAAAAAAAAAAAAAAAAAAAAAAATATATATATATATATATATATATATATATATATATATATATATATATATATATATATATGCTATTTGTAATACAATTTTGTCCTTTAATACAAACAGTCATATATATAAACTGTACCTTTAAACAACACGAACAATTGTAGCAAATAATATAAACAAATAGAAATATCCTGTTCGCTTTCTGATCCTTGTCTACCAAGTTCTTTTACACCCCTTTGATTGGTCAAACGCTCAACAGAAAGGGTTGCGATTGGCTCTTGCGCGCTGGCACTCTTCACAGATGAGTGACACTGATAAACGGCAGCGGCGATTACAGCTGATCCATGATAGACGGGGTGGAGAAATCTGCAGGCACACGCTCATGTCTGTATCCAGAAGTATCGCTGTACCAGCCGAGACGAGAGGAAACGTCAAACCCAGCAGGTCAAATGGGCCACAGTGAGAGAGAGAGAGAGAGAGAGAGAGAGAGAGAAATGGAGTACTTTCATTCTCTCAATCGCAGTGAAATAGGGACTTCTGCTGTAAGTGTCAGTGAAAGATTGTCCAGCAAACTCGCAAGCAGTGAAATTGTGCACAGTTTCTCTGTTTTTAAGTAGTTGGAGCATTGTAAATACTTGCGCTCACCTCCTTCGCCATAGTAAGCTACGGCGACATAGCGCAAATGAGATAAATGACGACTGTACGTAATAAATGGTTATGATTATTACTGAACCGATACCAAATTTTTTGCGTCTGCATTGTTGTGCACCGAAGAAACAATTAATGTTGACACCCCTAATCCCAAGTATAAATTGTTAAAAAAAATAAAAATGTTTATCTTTAATAAATCTAATCCTGTGATGTGACTTGCAGATACACACATTGCGATATTAATTCTCAAATGATATGTTGCTCAGCCCTAATATACATGTACATAAATGTACACAGTACACACACTTAAATTGTCAAAACAAACTTTTATTTTGCATGCGGTTTATTTGTGATTATTTTTTATCTGCGCTACTTTATTTATTTATTTTGTTTATTTGGCAAATATTGAATCCAGTTCTTTTGATTAATCACCAAGGACTGGATTGTTGGAAATTTTACAATTCTTGTCCAGTAAGCTATTCCTTTAAGACAATGGAGTGATATCAAAGAGAAAATCTTTGGGATCTAAATAAAACTAGTGCAAGTAGCATCTGCTTGATGTTCCATCAGGGATGCTTGTTAAAACGAATAGAAGTGGTAATGAAGGATATGTTTGCACCGGGTCTCCTCCCTGTCATTTTCTATTCCTGTATAGTAATTTGAGCCAGTTTCTGTTGTTCTCTCTGATGCAGTCAGTCTGTGCTGAAGTGATGTTGCATAACATCACTAACTCCCACGGGCCCAGAATCAGAATACATTACAAAATGTTAGGCGGATAGTCTTACCAGTCAATACCATGCAGACAGAGCAAATCAATAGTGTTCAAGGTGTTTCGTCCAGCACAAATGCTGATCAAAAGGAGAGAAAAAAAAAGAAAGATATTTCAGTCATCATTTAATTACTTCTGTGTTGTTCAAACCTGTATGACTGTATTTATATCCTAAATATTTATTATCATCATGTACTAACTTTCATATAGTTATGGCTTTTGTTTTTATTAACTAGTGCTGCACAATATATCGTTTCAGCATCGATATCGCAATGTACACATCCACAATAGACACATCACAGAATCTGCAATGTTGGAGTCTCAATTATAGTTAATCAGACAATCAATTCAGAACATGAGGTTTCTGGGTGTACACGGGAATGAGAAAATTAAGGCCCTTAAAATGTTTTTAAATGTCTTCAATTTTGTTGAAGCGTTGTCCAAAGTGTTTGACTGCAAAAAAAAGCATAAATATATTTATTTTCCTCTTAATATTAACAACGGTGTGCTATAAAGTTCACCCAAACCTAAAAAATGTGTCAGATAGATGAATGTGTTTTCTGTAGGTGGTTTGTCAAGCCCACTCACCTGTGTGAGGCACACTCAGAATTGCATAATGTTTCGAGGCTGTCATGTGGTGTGGTGGATGAAGAGAAGAACCTGAAATACAAAAATGTATTTGCATGATTTATTTAGCGAGTGCTGAAAAAGCAAATACTTTGAATAATTTTGAATATTGTCAGTTCCTCTTGACTTTCACTGGTCAGAAAAATTCAGTTGAAATCAAGGATATTGAAAGTGTTTGGGTGCAGATGTTTGGAAGGATAAGAGGGTGCAGAGGTGAGGTAGTTTATCTTTTTTGGGGTGAACTGTCCCTTTAAGTGATTTCATATTAAACAAAAGAAGTAAAGTTATATGGGTTTGAAATAACATGAACAACTTCTGGGAGAATTATTTAAATTAGGGCTGCAGGATATTGTTTAAATCTGACATTGCGATATTTTGTTTTGTTGCGAATTATATATTGCAATATGAATATAATATCACCAGATGATTTGAATAGCTCTATTTTGGAAGATTTCATTCATTTAGATCAACTGGGATTAATAAATCTTTTTCTATGCAGTGGATTGGCCTAAAATGTAATGAATTAAAAAAATATATATAAATACAACAGAGCAAAAATTAAAGTTAAATAAATAGTGCTATATGGATTTTCTGGGAAGTGTATCAGTAATCAAGTACAATGAAATCTAAATAACATCATCATTGTAAAAAAAAATGTAATACTTTTAATTTTCAATAAACAATCTAATTTTTCCTACTGCAGATATACGCCTTGCGATATTGATGCTCAAACGATATTCACCTTATTCTTCGCCGACGAGCGGGCGCAGCCATTTGAATCTTTTTGGCTCAAGACTTCCGATCTCATTCACTTCCATTCATTTTTAAACATTAAAAAACTGCTCGTTTCGCTGTTTGATGTTGCAAACTGATATTTCCTCATTATATTATTCTACTTGGTCTATATAGTCATACAAACATTTGTTTGTAGAGCAAGTATTTTGACCATTGTCTGCCGTTTATTATTCCTAGTCATTTCTCCCATAAGCGAGTGAATCCGAAGTTCGAATTCGCGAAAACAGGCGCACTTCCGCATTTTAGAATAAGGTCAATATTTTCAGCTCTAATTTAAATGCAATGCAAAAAAAAATGCTTAGATTTTTTTTTGTTTTGTTTTTTTGTTTAAATATCTACAAATTCATAAATCAAGAAGCATTTTATAGACAAACAAAAACTGTTGGCTTGCTTTTAAAAATAATATGTCTAAATTAAGTGAGTTTTTCCTTAAATCAAGCTAAATAATCTGCCAATGGGGTAAGCAAAATGTATATTGTTTTCAAAGCAAACAGAATATTATTTTGCTTGACCCATTGGCTAATTTCTTTTTATTTTTATTTTTCATTTTTTTAAATATTTCTTGATTTAAGAATATTCAGATATTTAGACTAGAAGCAAGACAAAAACTCCAACTTTTTGTGATTTCTCCTGGGAGTTATATTCACGCAAAGTCATAATAATACAAGAGTGACCTTTCTCTTAAGATAAATATAGAAAGCATGCTGGGAAAAAAAGCCAGCTCATATTCACAAAACTTTCATCTCTCTTTTGTCTCCCTTCCAGCCAAATACAGAGAAGAGTTCAAGCTCATCATTGATAGAATTGCAGTGGTGAAATCGGAGAATGTGAGTACACATCTTGTCATATCATTACTACACAGTTTAAAGTAATTAACTGCTCAGTCTTATTAAATAATCATTAAAAGCTTTTTGCATTTGTAATATGATCACTGACACTGTCCCTGTAGAACAGGCAGACAATTCCCTATTCTCGCAGTGATTCATTATTCACTCTGCTGACGGTGATATAGGCTTCACATTTTCACATGATTGCTCTACCATACACACCCTTATGACATTGGATCGCTGTCTTGTACGCGTACTTTCCCTCGGATGAGATCACTTTCTGTCTATTGTAAACTCTAATAGATTATTCTCTATAAGCACATGCCTAGACAAAGGATTTTGTTAAATACAGTTGAAGTCAGAGTTATTAGCCCTCCTAAATTATTAGCTCCTCTCTATATTTATTTCCCTGATTTCTGTTTAACCAAAGATTACTGTTTTTTTTTTTTTGAGTTTCCAAAAGAAAGTACATATAAAACTTACATTAATCTCTCGTACAGAAAGAGACTTGCCGATCTTGCAAATGCTTTGTGTTTTCTTCCCTTTAAAAACAACAACTGTAAACAGTAAAACATGTCGAGCAACAAATCCTTTAGAACAGGGGTTCTCAATCTTTTTTACTTCAGGGCCAACTTCTTTCTCCGATAAATTTTTGAAGACCTACCTGTCTGACATTTTTTTTCTGAAATGTTTGTATGAAATGCTCATTCAAACCTTTGTTTATTTAACATATATAATTTTATTTATTTTAAAATATTATTTATTTCTATACGATGCAAAATTGAATTTTCAGCATCATTGCTAAAGTCTTTAGTGTCACGTGGTCCTTAAGAAATCATCTTAAAATACTGATTTGCTGATTAAGAAAACATTTAGGATTTTTAGCAATGCTGTAAACAATAGTGCCTAAACCTTGTATTATGTTTAAAATGTAGGTATTACATTGACCTGCATTGCACTAAGATCCTAAAGAGTGGAGGTGTAACAAAGATTAATAATATTTAATTATTTATACTATTTATGCAAAAAGAAATGTACTTCTTACTTAGATTTTTTTGTTTTAGTTCTAGTCCAAAGATCTACATTTTAAAATAAAAAGAGAATTAATTTTCTTAGCCTGTTGGCAGATAATTTAGCTTGTTTTAAGGGGAAAAAAAATCTTATTTTTAGCTCTTAAAGTAAAAATACTGTTTAGTTTTCACTTTTTTTTATATCTAAGAAATTTTAGATATTTGTTCTAGAAACGAGACAAAGTAAAAAAAGATTTTTTTGCTTTGAGTATTCAATTTCTGTACCTGAATACTGTTAAATTCCAATTAAATTAATATTACAATATTTATCGTAGAATAATAATAATAATATTTAACAAATATTTTTGCTTTATTATATGTAGCACAAAGCAGAAACTCTGTAAATGACCAAGCTGCTATTTTCATACTGCAAAAACAATTGTAAATTGGTTGGATATTTAACTAAATGATTTCAGCGGTATGAATGTGACATTTACGGTAAAAACTTGAAGTATTATAAAACATTATATTAAAACATCTGTTTATATTTTCTAAAACAACTAAACACAGATTTATGCGATCAGAAAAATAGTCAGTCTGTAAAAATATTTCATATTTTAAATGAGGAAAATAAACATGCATTGCGGATATGACCAAAAAAGTCTGCGAGTTTACAGTACACAACCTACTTTGAAGAAATTCTGTGAATTAAATTGCACAACCCAAAAGAAACAATGCTAAACAAAAGGCTAAGAGTTGGCTCATATAATGAATTTTTTTTATTTTATTTGACATTTTTGCATTTATGAGGAGAAATCTTCGTTATTGATGTGACAGATGTGAAATTGTAAATAAATCAATTATAATTATTTAAAAACATTTGAAAGAGACAGATTTGAGTATTTTTACAGTCCTGTAAAACACAAGCACACAGAAAATCTAGATTGGGTTTCCCTATTTTGGTAAAAATTTTTCATGGCAAGGTTGATATTTATAGGGAAATGCTCAAATGTTTCCTTTGGTACTCTACAAAATGATAACGTTTTGTAAGAACAACACTTTTATTTGGTGAATTTATTTGAATATCAGAATGGAGGTAATGTTTCCTTTCATTTCTTTTTCAGGGGGAGAAATATCTCATCCTCAAGAAGAAATACAGGCAAGAGCAAGTGTCTGGCACTAAAAAGGGAGGTGAATCAATCAAGCCGCTTCATCCAAACCCACAAAATGAGCTCCTGGTTTCCAACCCAATGCAGAACCGTAGCCAAGCAGCTAAGACCCCGCAGCCAGTGATGGTGGCCTGGTGCTCAGGACCCATGATTACAGTCACAGACGCACAAGAGCCCACGGATATTGATGATGTGAGTGATTTCTGATTGTACTATTACTTCTCATTATAACTTCATTGTTAAAGATCGCATGTGAAGTGTCTTGAAACATGCAGCATTACTCAATGTGTGTTGAGGAAGGCAGGGTGAGACATATTGAGAGGCTCCTCCCCTTTATAAAAATAGCCAGTAGTGTCTCTTTTGGTGTGTTTATATAGCTTTAGAGTCTGTTTACACCTGGCCACTTCATTTATTTTCTCTGATCAAATAGCTGTCTGATATTTGAAAATGTTTTCCATTTCATTTATTTGTGTATAACCCAAAAAACAAACATTATGCTTTGTAAACAATTATACTGTCTATTATTGTTCTTCTTCACAAAGATAGGCTACTACAGGGGTCTGTTGTTGGTACTTGCATTACACAATTAGCTGGATTTGGTTATTGACGATTTGACCTGATCCAGGATTGTTTCATTCTTCGAAAATTATCTGAGATTTGTTGTCATAGCCACAGTTCTGTTAGCTCAAACCTACTCGGCAGCAGGCTCATTTCATATAAACAAGATTATATCGGGGTCAGTTCAAGCAAAGATAATACTGAAAGTATGTACCGAATTCTTCTGATATTTTCTTACAATAGTAGTTATATTCACTTGGGGAAAATAGTAAATATATATATTTTTGGCTATCTATCTATATATATCTATATATATATATATATATATATATATATATATATATATATATATATATATATATATATATATATATATATATATATGTATATATGTAGTGTGTGTGTGTATGTTTATATATGTATATACACACACACATATACAGTTGAAGTCAGAATTATTAGCCCGTTTTTGATTTTTTTTTTTCTTTTTTAAATATTTCCCAAATGATGTTAGACAGAGCAAGGAAATTTTCACAGTATGTCTGATAATTTTTTTTCTTCAAGGAAAAGTCTTATTTGTTTTATTTTGGCTAGAATAAAAGCAGTTTTGATTTTTTTAAAAACTATTTTTGGGACAAAATTATTAGCCCTTTTAAGCTATTTTTTTTTCGATAGTCTACAAAACAAACCATCGCTATAGAATAACTTGCCTAATTACCCTAACCTGCCTAGTACATCTTATTAACCTAGTTAAGCCTTTAAATGTCACTTTAAGCTGTATAGAAGTGTATTGAAAAATATCAAGTAAAATATTATTTACTTTCATCATAGCATAGATAAAATAAAACAGTTATTAGCAATAGGTTTTTAAAACTATTATGATTAGAAATGGGCTAAAACAATCTTCCCTCAATTACACAGAAATTGGGAAAAAAAATAAACAGGGGCGCTAATAATTCAGGGGGGCTAATAATTCTGACTTCAACTGTACATACACACATATATTTGTGTATATATACATACATACATACATACATACATACATACATACATACATACATACATAAATACAAATTTTAAGGGGGACACTTTTGTGCTTTTTAGGTACTAATATGTGCCCTTGAGGAAAGGTACCACCCCAGTGACAGATTGCGTTCCTTTATTTCTGAGAGTGTGCAACGGAAGTAAGAACAAATTTAGTTACAAATTAGCTAATAGTTACTAAGTTTCCAGTGTGGACTTTCTAGTTTAAGCAAGAACTTGCCAACAGCTGTTGCAAATCCTACCCAGGACTGTTAAGAGTGAAAATAATGTGATTAATTATTCCTCCACATAAAAATGCCCCAAACTAGGGTTGCACGATACTGGAATTTGGTATCAATTGATAATAAATTTTTCAATACGTCCACGATTTTAAAACGCTCCAGTGTCCCTGTATATGTTTACACTCAGTAAACAGCAGGGAATTCAGTGAACTGATGGCCTTCACGGCCAATCAATGTCATTTCTGTTGAGCATGTGAACACAATGGCAAATCAGCGCTGTTTAAGAATGCAATCAAATGTTAGCGGGAAATGGAGGATTTTAACATTTTAGTACCGATTGGTATCGAATTCCAGTATCGTGACAACGCTACACCAAACCATGTTTTATGCATGCTCCACATGTATTTCATGTGTTTCATATATCGAACCAGAACAGGTATAAGAAAAAAAAAATGTGTGCAGTTTTTTTTTTGTTCAGACATGTAACAAAACTTTATTCTGATTTTAATTTTTTATTTAATTTTTTATTTTGTGCCAGTGTCCGCACCACTGAATCAAACAGTGTAATTTATTAAATGCACTCACTGCACTTTGTCCTCTGTCACTTTAAAAGCTCACAGTGAAATGGAGAAAACATAGTTCAGAAAGTGATTTCAATAGGATCTCTCTTTTGTGTCATTATCGTTATAGCTGTGTTGTGAACTTACAATGGATCTTCATTCTTAAAAGTTTTCATCCTTGATTTTGAACAGTTTTTTTTTTTTATACCAGCACAAAATGTTCAGATCATCTAAAGAACTCGGTAGTGTAAACTCGGTAGGGTCTCTATTAATCATTTTCCTGGATATCACCCAGACTCCAGTGTTTCTCCTCAGACTGTTTGCTAAAGCTTTTCTAGCTGGATTAAAGAAGCAGCTGGTGATAAGAGAGAGCTTGTCTCAAGCTGATAACACAGTGTTTCAGTTGCCTTATCTTTGGCTGTAGGACTTCAGCTGTTTAAAGCATTATTTTGAAGACTTCCGGCAAGTGTAGTTGCCATATTAAATGCACTTTTTGGAATGATTAATTGCAGATTTTTCCCATGGCTTCAAGATAATCTCCATTTGTCCATAAAGCCTTGAAGCATCTTTGCATCAAGTTTGGAAGATTTGCATCTCAATACTTTTTAAAGTGTTTTATAAATTTATCATCAATATAACTGATAAAATGGTTTTATTTATGGACTGCAATTCTGGATTATTGAAAATGGACAAAATAACAAAAAATCTTATTTTATTTGTAATTTATCACATCCACAAAACAAAATGTATGCTGACTGTACCAAATTGTAAATTATTCTTCATTGATCTAAAAAAGATTTATGATTCCCCCACTTCTATACAAAGTAATGCCAAAGCTATTAAGACATCCCAACTGTTGGAAAAAAAAAATTTAATGTACATGGTTAATTTTTGTTGTTAATTCCCTTGTATACTGTTTTATGTATAATTCTGTACTCTACTGTTTAATCAATAAATATTGGACTGATTGTTTTTATGTGAAATGGATTGAAAGTTCATTGACAAATCTAGATAAAATATAAGCAACTTATACTAACTGAAAAAAATGAAACATCTTTAGGCCTATTATAGGTTAATAAAACTGAAAAAAAATTCAAGAAAAAAATAAGTATGCATATAAAAATGAGTTGGCAATAATTAAATAAATGCACAATAAAACATTCTTATAAATGTATAATAAAATATAGCAAAGTGTTTATAAACTATATATTTTTTTATTGTTCATTTGGTGCACAGAAATAAATTTTATTAAATACATTTAACCAACAAATAAATAATTAAATAATTATATATATATATATATATATATATATATATATATATATATATATATATATATATATACATACATACATACATACATACATACATACATACATACATACATACATACACACACATATATATATATATATATATATATATATATATATATACACACACACAATTAATTTTAGATATATATTTTGAAATCAAAATTACTAAAAATTTACCCTGAATTAAAAAAAATTGAATATTAATGAAAGCTAATACTGTATTGGTGATAAATCTAATGGTAATAAATCTGAAATAAAACTAAATGGAAGTATAATATAGTGTAGTTATAGTAGTATACAACAAAGAATATCCAGATACTAAAATAGGCTTATGAGTGCAAGTTTCTTCTCACAGATGGAGCACATCAGCACATAGTTCAACACACAACAGTGTGAATTTCCTGTCAGCGCTTCTTTTAGCCACATTGTGAAACTGTCTAAAAACTGCTATAAAAACACAAACCTTATTAAAACACACAAGTGGCTTCATTTATCTCAGTGAAAGGAGACACACAAATTTAGTTTGGTACCATGTAGTTTGGTTTTCGCTCCTCATGAAAGAGCGAATGTTTTTACATGCCAGCTAATGTTTTTGACCTGTGGCCAGTTGCACAAAATGCTTAGACTAGTCTTAAAGAGCACATAGGTTACCGCTTTTTTTATATTTATTATAACTCTTTTGTGTCCCCAGAATGTGTCTGTAAAGTTTCAGCTCAAAACACCCATCAAAGTATTTATTATAGCTGTTTGAAGTATCTGTATTATAGCTGTAAAAAGGTTGTTACTTTTTTTTGCACTGGGCCTTTAAGGCGAGTCATCCCCGCCCACTGACCCCATGTGCCTGTCAGCAACATACCTCAATCGTTGCCCTCGGCAGCCTCAGGAAGCAGATCTCACGTAACGTTTGTGAGAAATACTATAGTAAGAACTTTACCAATCAGTATTTGATGCATTTTTTGTGGAGTTGCAACAATGAGTTCATGCACACACAGCGCAGACACACACATAGCGCAGACACATAGCGTAGACACACACACACATACATAGCGCAGACACACACACACACACACACACTCAGACAGTAAGAGAGACACGCGGCTGTGCTGATGAAGTGAATTTGAAGTGAATGAACTTCATTACACACATGCACACGTTTTAAAACATGTTAAACTTGTAAAACTCACTCTTGATCACGTTTGATGAGGATTGATGATCCTAGCAAACTGAACAGACCTTTTATTCCCGGTCGCTTTGCGCTTGTCCTGTCTTGTTAATATGATGCTTTACTTTGGAGACTTGTTAATACACGCAGCTGTCAATCAATATTGGTGGGCGGGGGGACCGCACTCCTATGTAAAGTTGCGGTCGATCTGAAAACCGCTTCAATTGGTCCACCGTTTTTATGTTGTTAAATTGAAAAAAAAAAGGACTGGGTGTGTTTATTTCACCCCAATATGACAGCATATACACTATACTTACACACATGTCTGTCCAAACTGCTTTAAAAGTAGATTTTTCACCATAGGTGCGCTTTAAAAGAACGCTGTTGCCTTCCTTTTTCAACTTTTCAGCTAAGTTTAATCTGAAAACTAATACTGGTTACATCTTGTTTTACTATTGCACTTGCAATAATCTGCCAAACTGAAAATTAGATTTTTACCCTCACCCTATTAGCAGATATTTTAGCTTGTTTTAAGGAAAACCTCACCGAGAGTTGATTTGACTTATTTCTGAAAACAAAACAATATTTTTTGCTTGTGCTAATGCTTCTTCATTTAAAGGGCCATGAAAACCTCCTCTTTCAGTTCAAGTCTGCGTGGCCAGCAGAGTAGGGGAAAAAGAGGGGAGAGAACAACTGTTGTCAGTCGGCTCACAAAATGAGACGCACACTGTGAGGAGACCCATGATTTTACACTTTACTAAGTTAAAATGCAAAGAAATAAACAGTAATTTAATGCCCTGCTACATTTATTCATAATTTCATATACACGCAACCACAATTTGTTTTATCATCGTAAAGATAATCGTGCTCATATAAACACTATAAATGAGGAGGACTTCTCTCCTCCTGAATCCCCGGGTCTGAATGCAGACACAGTGGATAGCAGTGCAGCCGGTGTCTTACCCTATCTATTGCAACCATTAACCCTGCTGGTAATCTGGAGGATTTTAAACATGTGCGAACAGCAGCATGGATATAGGCGATGTGTCACAATAACAAACCATAGACTGTAACGAACTCAACTGATAAAAGTCCACCCTTCTCCAAATCTCGTACAACTCTCCTGACAAAAATGCTTGCTGCACACTTACAGCTTTGCTGTGTCGGCCCTGACAACATCGCAAGGACAAACATGCATCAAAGCCAGTGGATCATGGAAACAAATACATACGACCAGAGTCTCACCCAGTCATTAGCTATGTTTCCATCCAAAAATGCGAATGAACTTTATGCGCAACTGGATTATCGCATTAAAGACGTGCGAATAAAGGAGCGTTTCCATCCAACGAGTTAAAGCGAACAGAATCGTCACTTCCTGATTAACTGGCGCTAAATATCAACAGTAAAAACGGAATTTGCTGCGATAGGAGAAACTGTTTTTTATGCGCATTTTCAAAATTTATTAGGTGGATGGAAACATAGCTATTGTATCTCACAGCTTGCCAGGTCTGCTATGCCTTCGGAAAGCACATGCTATCATGAATAATTAAGAAGCAAGGTCTTCTCATAGGATAAGAATACTCCGCTATGAATAATAATGAGAAATCGACACGTCATCGCTCAACTAGCAGATTCGCGATACATCACCGATTTTTTTTTTTTTTTTTTTTTTTTTTTTTTTTTTTTTTTTTTGATCCCACCTCAAAAATTATTTTAAACCCGGAAGACAAATTGAGCTGACAAAAGCTCAAAATTATCCAGTTTTCTCCAGAATTAAAGCTAACTGGTGCTAACGTTGTCTTACTGATGCTCAACACACACACATCTGTTAAAATCTAAAAAAAAAAGTACTCCAGGGTTTCATGAACCTTTAAGAATGTTTAGATATTTTCGCTAGAAACAAGACCGCAACTCGAGGTGAAAAAAGCTGTGTGATTAGTTGGCCTTAGTGTTGTCAAGAAACTGGAATTCGGTACCAATCGGTCTATTTTTCACTAAAATCTGAGCGCTGCCGAGTGCGTTCTTAAACAGCGCTGATTTGCCATTGCGTTCACGTGCTAAACAGAAATGGCGTTGATTGGCCGTGAAGGTCATCAGTTCACTGAACTCACCGGTGCTTACTGAGCGTAACCACAAATACAGGGACACTGGAGTGTTTTAAAGCCATAAATATCAGTCGATTCATCAGCGGATTGCACGTATGTCAGCTTGTAAACAGTCCAGCTTATCTTCACAGTTTTGAAACGCTCCAGTGTTCCTGTATCTGTGGTTACACTCAGTAAACAGCGGTGAGTTCGGTGAACTGATGATCTTCACGGCCAATCCTAATAATTTCTGTTGAGCACTTGAGCATAATGGCAAATGTTACCGGGAAATGGACGTTTTTAAAATGCCAGTACCGATCGAATTCCAGTATTTTGACAATACTAGTAGACCTGCACAATACTGGAAAATATGTGATTTTGGTCTTGAGTATTGAAATAATAATATTTCTTACTCTTAGAGTTAGAATAAGAATGGGTTAAGTAACCCTATACCTAACATTTCCCTAGTAATGTTTTTAGTAGCTTTGTTTTGAAATCATTCATTTTTGTTTGATTGTAAATCCCATTACTTACACACAAGGGCCTGCATGGTTTGACTTCACATTATCTTTCTGAACTTTTAACATTGTGTTCCCTCACATGTGACCTCTATTCCTCAGACTCCAATCTTTTTACAGTTCCTTCTACTCGTTTGCGCTCTATGGCTGACCGGGCTTTCTCTTCCCAGGCTGCAAGGCTCTGGAGCTCTCTCCCCTAAAGCATTAGACACGCTAAATCTTTTAGATTGCTTAAATCATCCTTGAAAACGTACTAGTTTGTTTACACTCGCCTATTCTTGAGGTGTGTATTCTTAGTGTGTTTTATGAGTCTAGATATTTGATGTTTTATCTATTTTTGAATGTTTTGCTGTTATTGTTATACAAAACATCTGTATCATTTTTGTGTAGAGTGAGAATTAAGTTTTGAAAAAGGTGCTACATAAAAATAAATTATTATTATTATCTATTGAATGACATTAAAATTAAACAGGTAATATACCAGATGTAATTAATTCAATTACTTCATCAAAGTGCAAACATTGTCTTTAAAACACTATAAACCTAAACCTCAGACTTCTTCTGACTTTGATTGGCTTTTGTCTTTAAAGTGTCTTTAAGTGTTTACTTTCAACTCTGGGTTCACCTTTGGGCCGCTCTAGCCAATAGCAGAACACCAACTACTGGGGAGGCAGGGATTAAGATAGTAAGGCTTCATCTGATTGGTAAAATTTAGATAAACAACAAATGCATAAATAAAATGTATCACACGTATATCTGTAATACATAAATAGCATACAGGATTATTGCAATAACAATAACTTTGCAATATATTGCGCAGTCCTAATGCTTGATGAAACTAATTCTTGAGCAGTTTTAGCATAGTGGTTATATTTATGGTTCCCTATTAGTGTTCAGCAGGCATAGGCTAATCTGAGTGCACTGAAGTGATCTTTAATAAGTGATCTTAGTTACTTTTTTGTCTTGTGATCAGCAGACGGAGGGCGCCCTCTCACTGAAAGCTGAGCATCAGAGCGAGGAGATCTCATCATCAGACAGAGAAGAAGACCTCGACAAAGACTCGGGGTCAAAGGTTAGTTGCCTGATTTCACACACTAAATGCATTACACACTGTTTATGATTTATGCTCTATCCAAATTCGTCCTTTATACTTTTATTTACTATTTCCAACTGCTTTGTGAAAACTCATCTTGTTAGGATTGCATTTTTAGATTCCTGATCATTCTAATGTGCTTATATTTTATTTATTTATTTTTTTTATTTCTTTATTTTTTTACAATTTTTATTTGCTGAATCCGTTAAATCATGTTTATTTTATTGCATGTTTGATTTTATTTTCTGTCACCAATCTTATCCAGTTTTTAATACCCAGTCTTAATTTAGATGATTCAAAATAAGATTATGCTTTTAGGAAATCTTTACTCAAATACTAATGTGGCAAGGGGGCGTGGGAACGGAATGAGACCGCAGCGTAAGTCTATACACCTGTGGCGCGCACTGGCCTCGAATCCTACGGAAGGAGCTCTGGACTCCGTTTGTTAAGTGTGACGTCACGCGGAGCGGCTTCCGAGTCCAAGTGCTCTATTTAACTAAATGGGGAGATTCATGAAATGGTAATAATAAACGTTTACAAAGCGATTTAATACTTTCGAAAGTCACGATCGCAATATATATGTATATGCCTAATATCCGATGGCCAGAAAGTGATTCATTGTTTTATAAATTGTTAAAATTTTGGTATTTGTTATGCAGCAAGATTGTTGTCTACACTATGACTTTGTTAAATTAACTTTAATGTGTGATATGAACAAAAAGTGATCATAAACGAATGATTTCTCCATGCAATTGAATGCCGGCTTGCACCCGGAAACAGTATTACATACAACACAAACACGTCACCACTTAACAAGCGGATAAGAGGAGGAACGATGGCAGAGGAGGCCGAGAGAGGACCAGGCCCGAACATATTGTTTTACTTTTTTTTCAGTTTGACGGCATTCTCAGTGAGGAGCTGCCGTCCGTTTGTTTTGGTTTAGACGGCAGTCTCCGTGAGTGTTCGGGAGTTAACCCGAGTGGGGGAGAAACCTGTTGGTCTGCCCAGAGTGCCAGGGCGGCCTGGGGCTGGTGAGGAAAGGATCTGCCTGCTGCCGTGTCCCAGCATGGGGAGGAGCAGGGGACGTGGGACTCGGAGACTCAGATATGCCACCAGCCATCCAGGAGAACCGTCGCAGAAGACAGACGGGTGGATAGATTCCTCCACAGGGCTCCCAACACGTTGTCGCATCTCTCAGCTGGTGGAGGACCGAGTGGCAGCGTGTTTGGAGAACCAAACCCCAATTAAAATTTTTTTTTTCCACTCTCCCTTCTCTCGGTGTTCTCTGTCTTTCCTCCTTTTTTTCCATCTCCTTTTCTCTCGACCCGTCTCATATAGGTCTCGAGGGTGCTGTGGCACCTAACCCCCCCAAGTCTCCGTCAGGAGCTGCCATTCCTGTTATTAATAAATATTTTAAACCTTGTCGGTTCTCCGCCTCCTTTCCGCCGGCCAAAGGGCCGTAACTTCATTACAACTAAATTCCATCAAAATTTCCAATTCAAATTTCTTCAGTTACCAATAGCTGTCTCTTATTCTTTAGTCACCACCATACATTGTAATTCACCCTATATCCCTTTCAGGACCTGTATCAGTAAACCTATGAAAATAAGCAAAAATAGTTAAATATCATTACTAATATTTTTGGCATTGAAAAAAACCCCTCTCCAGACCTTTTCATATTGAACACGCATGGAATTGGCATGATATTCCAACACTTGCTTATTTGATGCACTTGAAAAATATTTAAAACAAAAAATATATAATATGAAATCAAAATGACAAAAACATAACCTGAAATTAAAAATAAAAGAAAAATCTAAATATTATTGAAAACGAATGTAACATCTGGCTCAGTGGGTAGCACAATCGCCTCACAGCAAGAAGGTCGCTGGCTTGAGTCTGACTGGATCAGGTGGCATTTCTGTGTGGAATTTGCATGTTTTCCCGCTGTTGGTGTGGGTTTCCTCCTGGTGCTCCGGTTTCCCCCACAAGTCCAAAGACATGCGCTATAGCTGATAAGCTAAATTGTCTATAGTGTATGTGTGTGAATGAGAGTGTATGGTTGTTTCCCAGTGATGGAAGGGCATTCTCTGTGTCAAACATATGCTGGATAAGTTGGTGGTTCATTCCACTGTGGCGAACCCTGATTAATAAAGGGACTAAGCATAAAATAAAAAAAATGAATGACTGAAAAATTAATATAAATTAAAAAATGTTGATTATAAAATTATGTTTAAAAAATTAACTGTAGCTAAACAAAACCAAATAAAGTGATGTCAGATTGTTAAAATAATAATAGTATAATAATAACAAATATTAAATATCTGTTTAAAGCCAGTTTTGTGTAGCTAACATACAACATGCAACATACAAGACGCCAATGTGTTGTAATAAGATAACCACAACGGGAAATTGCATCACCGACAACCAGTGTAGTCCCTCATGCCGTTTTAATAACTTACTACAAGCTAAAATTATATATTTTTTGACCATTTTTGTTTGTTTAATGTGTAATTGTCCAACACACACACTTTGAAACAAACAATCACCACACCTCATAAAACTACATCTTTAATTGACCTTAAATGCATCATCATAATTGACTACCAATTATTAACCATTTAAACCAATCCTGTATTTAAATCATCTCTCTCACACGTATTTACCACATTTGTATTATTTCACACTTTTTATCAGTGTATGTATTAATAATCAAATCCTCGTATGTGTTGATGACAATATTAACCGTAAGAGTCTGTGCAGATCCTCAAACCAGCTGCTCTTTTTTTTTTTTTATCTGCACAACTGGCACGAACCAAAAGGTGGCGCCAGAATAAATAGCTGGATTTGAGAGGCCGTATTTCAGCCAGGGGTGACAGCATGAAAGACACCTTCATTTACATTTGAATGAGGCTTTCTATTCTTGTGCAAAACAGCAACATGCTCTACCTCATTACAGGGAAAATGATCATCTGTGCCCTCTGAACATTTGTATGCTGATCAATCGGAGATGCGGCTAGTTAAAGGCCAAAGGCATAATGTGGGGAACATGTTTGTATTCATTTATTTATTTACTTATTGTTTTATTGATTTATTTATTGGTTTATTTCGCTTTGTTTTATTTTTATTGTTTTATTTAGTTTTTTATTTAGTTGTTTTGTTTTATTTAGTTTTAATTTTAGTTTTATTTTGCTTTTATTTTATTTTATATTATTGTTTTTTTGTTTTTATTCCTTTTATTTATTTTGCTTTTATTTTATTGTTTTGTTAGATTTTTTTGTTTTGTTTTATTTATATTGTTTTATTTTGTTTATTGTTTTTATTGATTTGTTTTTATTTATTTATTTAGCTTTTATTATTTAGTTTTAATGTCTTTATTTTAATATTTTTATTGATTTGTTTTTATTTAAGTTTTTTTCATTTTAATTTGTTTTATATTTTTCGTTTACTTTTTTATTTGTTTTATTTATTTTTATCATTATTATTTTATTGTTATCTTTTTTGTTTTTATTTTATTTTCTTTTGTTTTATTTTGATGTCTTATTTTGTTTTTATTGTTTTATTTTTATTTTTCTATTTATTGTTTTATTTTGTGTTATGTTTTGTTTGATATAGGTTTTATTTGCTTTGTTTTTCTTTCTTTCTTTTTTTCTTTTGTTTTGTTTTTATCTTAGAGCTTTACAAATTTATTTTATACATTTTATTTTTTTACTTTTATTCATACCACTTGCAAACTCTTTCGGTGGAAGAGATTCACACTTGAAAGCCTTTCACGCCTGGAAGCTCTTTCTAAGAAGCGAGACAAAACTGACTAGCCCCTTATCAGAATTATTCATATGATGTGTCAAAGCTGAAATTCATCTGCATAAACTGTATTTTACAATGCAGCAAATGCCTTTCATTCTGGTGTTCATTGTTGTGTTTGTGTCAAACTATTGTGATTATTTAATACCAGTTTACACTGAAAAAAGACGATTTGTGTAGAAACAGATTTCATTTCAAAATTGCTCATACATTTCACTAGTGATGAGTAACACATTAATGGACACATTCGGTTAGATGTTTTACCTGTAAACCAGTTCCCCTAAAATAATTGAGTAAATGAACTTTGTGCATATTTGTAGTAATTTAAATATGAAATAAATGTAATGTGTTGCTTTAAAGGCATGTAAAGTAAGTAGTCATCTTTTTTAACCTCTTAAGGCCCAAGGTGTTTTTTGCATGCATTTTTTTTATTTCACTTTGCTATGTGGGCTTATTGGAACCTAATTAGAATAAAAACCTAAGTATCATCATTTGATATGATGTACTTTTAGAAAAAAAAAAGATTACCATAGATGTGGACTCGTGGTCCGAATTTGCATAAAACACTTTTTCCTGACTGTTTTTTTTATGCATATTTAACATAGAAAATGTTTTAAACATGTTTTGACTATCAGAAAATAAAACAAAATTTTTACATACCACATAACACATAATTTTTATACCATTTTGGACAGTTACAAATAGTGTTTGGGACATTTCATATGCTGCAAAACAGTAGCGGGATGACACTGTGTGTCTTTAACAAAATATAAAACATTCAAAGTATTTTAAATAGCTAAATTGTGCCGTCCACGCATGTGGACACTAAAGCCCTAGGAGGTTAATTTTACTAAAGTTTGATCTCAAACTTATTTTGAAAGTTTTAAGCTTTTCAAACCAACTTAAACAGTTATGCAGACACTGTAATATTAAGGATATTTAACAACGTGTATTCTGTATATTGTAATTATTTCAAAGATATGAATAAAACAATATACAATACAATTTTTATTATAAATTTATTTAATTTAAATAAAATTATTCTGTTCATCAAGGCAGCATTTATTAAATGTAAAAAAAAAAGAGTTAAATTGCTAAATATTTATTTTATGTAGTTTCAAATGAAATTATTACTCAACGTTATTGCTTTTTTAATATTACCATTAATAATAATAATAATAATAATAATAATAATTAAAATAATTAATATTATAGTGGTTTCTGAAGGATCATTTGACTCTTAAGACTGGAGTAATGAAGCTAAAAATTCATCTAAAATCACTGAATAAATTGTTGAATTAAATTATAAACTACTTTTGAAAAGTTATTTAATAGTTCAATAACATTTCGCAATTTTACAATGTACTCTATATTTGATTTAATAAATGCAGCCTTGGTGAGCAGAAAAAGCTTATTTTAAAACTTATTTTGGGGACAGTACATTTAAAAATCATACTGAGCCCAAACTTTTGACCCGTAGTGTATGTTACACAAGTAAAGAAAATCTTATAACACATCTTATATAGAAAGTATGAAAATGTCTCATCTTATTCATTCATTTATTTATTTATTTATTTATTTATTATCATCAAATGAAATGTAATAGCTTTAACAGTAATACTTATATTTTTTATATAGTTAGTACTTTGAAATAATATATTGTGTAAGAAATGATAACAATTAGTTTTATGTTTATAGTTTACATTTTAATTTTATATTTGAAGATTTCTAGTTTTATTTTATTTTACGTAGTGATATTTTAAAAACATGATTGATGTGACCAGCCCAGAAAATGTAATATGTTTCAAATTATATAAATGGCAATGACTTTGTTGAACTTTTCAACAAGTAATTTAAGCAACGAGGTCCCATATTTAATTTTAAAAGTGTGAAAAGATGCAAAACACCTGAAAATTGCGAAGTCACAGGTAACATAATTAATAGATATGCTGTTAACGTGGCTATATGTACACATGCATGTCGATTTGTTGTAACAGGACTAAATAATGAAAGTATTTACAATGTTTTCCTCTATTTAGCATCAGAAAGCCAACATCTACTGCAAATTACAGTTATTTACAGTATTTCTGATTTTAAATAAACTTGCGCTATTACATTTAGACTTCTCTTTGTTTTAAAAGGAAGTGCATCTGGTTTAGTTCCTGTTTAATCACAGGTAAATAAATATTGCTTCAATTTTCGGAAAAGCAGATTTTGTTATTGTTGCCAATATGAAAGAGTGCTTATGTTTTCCTTCTGTCCTTTCCTGAAAATAGCTAGCAATCACATGCAGTGCAAAAACAACCCAAACGCTCTTTTTCTTCACATTAATCAGCTTGACTGACACTTCAGTACATAAAGACGAAATGTCTCTTTTTTTGGCTCACAAAATTGGTGGCTTCTAGTAAAGCGGCATACAAAAGAAAACAAAAGCAGCAATTTGGGACTCATTGGCACTAATTGTTCACCTCTGAAGACGCATTATGGTCATGTGACCTGCGGTCAAATTGGAGGAATTATTTCTTGTTTTTACCGTTGTCCTAGTTTAAGCAGCAGATTTGTTTTCTGGTGTTGAATTTAAGTCTGTGTACATCAAAATTGTTGGTGTAAGTTGGTTTATTCAATGTAATATCAAATTATGACACACATTTCCACATATACATGTTTTCTTAACTGATTATAATTGTGTTATTTCTATAACCTTTTGATTTATGTAACTTCGGCTTATTTTGGGCAAAGGAAAAGCTCATGAGCAAAATTTATTTCAATCCATTTATGCCTGAGACTAATCTTAAACACTAGTTTTAGCACTGTTATGGCTCACCGAGTGAAACAACAAACAATATAATGTGAGGTTCGCACAGGTGAGTGGGCTTGACAAGTCACCTGTAGAAACACTCTTCTCTCTGAAAAGAAACAAAAATCCACCAAAAACTTGCATTGCTTATTTCCATGTTGACGGGGCTTGGTTTTCCTCCACTCATAATGTGACTATTAAACAGGAAGAGGAACTGCAGTTGTGTTAAATGTCCTCTCTAAAGTGTCAGATGATGAACGTTATAAACTGTTGAGTTTCACACTGACTCCCACCAGAGCCATGTGATGCTGACAGGTGGTTTTGTGAGTGATTTTGATCATATCATGTCCTGTTTCTTTCTCAGAGTGAATCTGAGCAGGATGAGGAGTCTGGAGGCAGTTTGGGATCCACCTCTGTGGCTGTGAGTATAACAAATCATGCATTCATTGTATTTTAACATGTATTAGATATGTCTTTTGTTACAGCAGTTACTGTCACTATAGTAGACCTATGGCTTAATCCAACACTTGGTCCACATATTACTAAAACACTTAATAGCTCATGCGACTACGGTAATATCGAAAAAAATTAATATTGCGGTATGACGGTATTTACAATACCGTTACATCCCTAATATATATATATATATAAATAATTCTGTTAAACATAAAATAAGTTATTTAGAAAAATATTAGAAGCCTGTAACCATTGACTTCCATCGTAGGAAAAAGCAAATACCATGGAAGTCATAAAAGAAACTCAAAGTTTTGCATTTCTTTTTTTTTTTTTTTTTTTTGTAAAACCTACATTGAAGTGTTGATAAAACATGAACTCATGAAGATAGAATAATCTGCTTTTTTGTTCAAAAGCAGAGGCTTGTTTTTTATGTATATAATGGTCATATATTCATAGCAGAAAATATTCTGGAGGTTGTTAGTTTTAGGTGAAAATCATAAAAAATGCTAATGGCTGACAACTTTTTTTAAAGCACTGTCAGGGATAGAGTTAATTGCCCTAGCTATTTGGTACTTGCATTAAAATTTAGTAAAATGTACTGCATTGCACTATTTTTCATTTAAATTTATGTTGTAATTAATGCCACTTTTGATCATTTGTCATTAATTAAACCACAGAAGAACCTGGTAATATGTAAATAATAATTACATAACAATATGTATACAACAAATTTGACAAAAATAATACAGATTTTTTCCCCTTCATGAAGATTTATAGTTTACCTCAGGTCACTCCAAGTTTATTTCTGTAAGTTGTTGAGGATAAAAGCATCAACTACTGTATATTGCTGGTCCATTCGGTTTAGAAATAGCATTTCATGGTATTTCTAAAAGTTCTTTTGCTTACTATAGTAAAATCCATATTATTGTGAAATACTGTTACATTTAATGTACAAATAGCAATTTTCTATGTGAAAATACTTTTAAAATAATTTTTATTTCTGCAGCAAATCAATCAGCAGATTAGATACTTTTCTGAAAAATCACGTGACACTGCAGTCTAAAAAAAAGAAAAAAGAAATATTATGAAAGTTAATAATGTTTCAAGTTAATGATGTGGTCAAACAAATGCAGCTTTGCAAAGAAACCCACTTTTCATCAAAAATAGAAAATAATAATAATTATAATAATTTATTTTTTTAATAAACTATTTATTTGCACCCCAAACTTTGTTAAATGTAGCCAATGCTAAATGTAGCCAATACTGTAACCAATAAAATTGAATAATTCCAGTAATGTCTTGTTGATTCATAGCTGGATCCTCTTGAGAAAGAGTGGATTTTCTCGGCAGCGAGTGGCAAACTGTGCCATCTCACTCAGCTTCTAAAACAAGACTCCTCCCTGGCCAATAAAAAGGTGCGAAGAGCTTTATATATCATTATATGTTGCATAATATGTCTCTCTCACATGCAGTTTAAGATCAGATTGCATGCAATACTGCATGTAATCATTTCCAATCATATGTTTTTGCTCTTTTCACATGCTTGAAACAAACCAGGACTTCACCTCAGTAAGTTTGCACACAGTCATTTAGCTTGTATAACTGTAGCAGTTAAAGTTTTGATTCACTTGAAGTTATACATGTACGTAATACATATATAAGTCTCCAGGATTTTTGCGAGTTTAGTGGTCCTAGAGAAAACAAATAATGTAACAGAATAATTGAAGCAATCATGATTGATTGGTTAAGTTTATAGAAATGTATTGAAACAACTCACTAATGATATTTTTACAAATTAGTGAACCATGAGAACCTTATTGAATGCCTGATTTAAGAATGTACACTTTTATTTGTGATATTTAATAGTTTTATTGACTGATCTTTAATAATGTCAGTAGCACGCTACTTTAAGTGCCATTTCCCAATATTAACGTGTGGCTTATTACTTGCCTGTTATTAAGATATTGGCTGTTTATTAGTACTTATGAAGGTGATCTTATTCTACTGCCTTAATAACTATTATTAAGTGGCAGATTGAGATTGAAAGTCTTAGTTAATGGTTTGTTAATAGCGAGAATTGTACCAACATGTAAAACAAAAATATTAAAAAAAGAAATGAACAGATATGTCAGACCCTGACTAGTAGTTTCTAAGTTAACACCTCTGTAATTTTTTAATGAAAATGTCTTTTGTTCTACTTTTGTAATTGTTTGACAATAACCGCTCATAAATGCTTTTCTTCTGCTCCTTTTTATGTAAAATCTTTCCTGTGTCCGTCTACTAAAAGGGGGTGAGTTTAAGTTTGTCTTCTTTGTTTTTCATGATTTTGAAACTGAAGTCCAAGCCAACAGTTCTTTTTAATTTATGTTTGCATGGCTATTTCTTTGCTTACTATATCTTTGCATACTCACTCAAAACAGCCAGAAAAACAATGTTTTGTATGCGTGAAAAGCAGATAGATAGATAGATAGATAGATAGATAGATAGATAGATAGATAGATAGATAGATAGATAGATAGATAGATAGATAGATAGATAGATAGATAGATAGATAGATGGATGGATGGATGGATGGATGGATGGATGGATGGATGGATGGATGGATGGATAGATAGAATAACTTCATCTACTTCTTCAACAGAGTCTCTTCTCTGATTAGTATTTATTAGTGAGAATGTGGAATTAATCTGTCAGTTAGTTGAGATCATCTAATTGCAAACCCCAACTGTCCAATACCATTTTTGACTAAAAAGTCTTTATTATTTTATAGCTCATGATTATGATGTACATCAATATAACTGTGTCAAACTGTGCATGGATTTCTCAAACTACTTTTATTCATATTTGTTGAACAGAATTTATTTTTTTTAAGACAAGACACTGAATATCAACTGTGTCAAAAATAAACAAAAAACATCTATTAGTTATTTTCAGTTTATAGATTGCTTTAGGAATTGCCTTTTTGTTGTTGTTGTTGTTTTAAAACACATTTCAAACACAAAAAAAATTACATTGAAGGATTTAGTTTAAAATTCTAGATGTTTGGTTGGATGGATGGATGGATGGATGGATGGATGGATGGATGGATAGTTGGTCAGTTGTTGTTTTTTTTTTGATGGATAGATGGTTGGTTGTTTGTACTGACGAACGGACAGACGGATGGATAGACAGACGTACAGAGGGACAGACGAATGGTTGGTTGGTTGGATAAATGAATGGATGGATGGATAGTTGGTTTGTTGGTTGGTTGGATTGATTAATTGTTAGACAGATGGATAGTTGGATGGATGGTTGTTCAGTTTTATTTAGATGGTGGATGGATGGATAGATGGATGAAAGGATGGATGGGTGGTTGGTTAGATGGATGTATGGAAGCATGGTTTGTGTTTTTTTTCTGGATGATGGATGTTTGATAGATGGATTATTGGATGGTTGGATGGATGTATGATTGGACAGAAGAATAGATAGTTGGTTGGATGCGTGGTTGTATGTTTGGATGGTTAAATAGATGGACGTTTGGTCAGTTGTTTTTTGGAAAATGGATGTATGGATGTATGGTTGGACGGACGAATGATTGGTTAGTTGTATGGATGTATGGTTGAATACTTAAATGTATGGATATTTGGTCAGTTGTTTTTTGGAAATTGGATGGATAGATGGTTGGTTGGATGGATGTATGTTTTGACAAATAAATGGATGGTTGGTTGGATGGATGAATGGATGGATGGATGGATGGATGGTTGAATAGTTAAATGGATGGAGACTTGGTCAGTTGTGTTTAGGAGGATGGATGGTTGAATGGATGGAAGAATAAATGGTTGATTAATTGGTTGGTTTGTTGGTTGGTTGGTTGGTTGGTTGGTTGGTTGGTTGGTTGGATTTACGCATGGTTGGTTGATTGTTTAGATGATTGGATGGATGGATGTTTGGATGGATGATTGGTTGGATAGATAAACTGATGAATAATTGGATGGATAGTTGTATTTTCTCCAATTATGCTCTTTTAAAGCATTATCTTCTCTGAGTCTATTACAGCACATCTGAACATTTGTTAACATGTTGTTAACTGAAGTTCTGCACTGCTAATTCCCTGTTGCTCCTTGCAAGGTTATCGACTTTCCACTCTTGTACCCAGGTGCAAGTAGACCAAAGAGCAAAGCTCAACCCCGATCATGCATTTCAAAGGCTTATTTTCAGAAGGATTATGAAAGATAGCTTTTTAGCTCCTTTGCCCTCCCCAAAAAAACAAGCTCAAATCCTTTTATTTGTCCCCCCACCCTGTGCGCTTAAGAGCTTTGAGCCGGTGTTTGTGGTCTCTGCCCGGGCTGAAGTTCTCACACTGTCCTGCGTCGGACCACCTTCTAAGAGCCTCTAAGCCCTTCGCCTTCCCCGCGCAGACAAGATACAACAGCGGCCATTGAAGTGCGGGAAGATTAAGGCTCACCTCAAAGACTTCAACCACTTACAGATAATCTGAAAGTAATAGAGCAGGCTGGGATTAATTGGAGAACAATCGCCGCCGTGTCCCCAGGAAGGTGGTAAGTCTGACCCCTAGGTGGCTTTGATGCCCCTCCTTCCTGAATCGGGATGGCATGCCAAGCGAGCCATCTTTCCTCAGCTTGGTACTACAAAGTGGAGACTCTTTAATGTAGGGTTTATTTTAATTGGGTATGTTTAGACAAAGGAACTTAGCCTATGTTAACTACAGTATCTCTTCTCTTCTTGGTGTTCAATGGCAAGAGAGCGGGATTAACCTGTCAATCTCTTGAGATCAACCAATAGCAAACCACAACTGTTCAATTAATTCCTTATGCACAAAATTAAGCCCCGTCCTGTAATTGTTCTTTAATTTCAAAAGCTCTTTTATTTGGCTATATAATATGTTACATGTTTAAGTTGCTATGTTGGATGAGATGTAACATTAAGTGAATCTCAAATGGTGCTGGGTGAAAATGGGAAAACATAACAGATGGATAAGTGAAACAAAATTTTACAATTTGTTAAATGGAGAATATCAAACAATGAATATGGGAATTTAGTATGTAATTTTAAATAACCAAATTAAACGAAAAACAGGAGTGTTGCCAAAACAAAGAAATAAATATAAAAAAACAATCCCCAACCCACTAAACTAAATAACTAAATAAAAATGCAGAAACAAAACTGTAATCTTCAGTGCATGCAACGCTTAACTAAACTTCTTACCTATTCCAAAACATAATAACAAATGTGGCAACTCCTTCATAAACTAACTAACAAAACTATGCTGCTCAAAATGACTAGAGTTCTCATAAAACTACAAACTGTTAGCCATTAGCAAAACAAGAGTTTATCTGATAATTCGATTCTTATAAAGATTATTTGACTTCCCAATAATAAATACTAAATTAAGCTGCACAAACTTATCTAATAAATAAATCACTTAAACGAGAGACAAACTAAACAACAACAGTAATAAAAATAATATGAACACAAATGAACAGGCTGGCCGACACAAGTGAGAAGTTTGGTTGTGAGCCAAGTGCTCCTGCTGAACAGCGCAAGCGAACGCCTTTTAAACGTGGCGGACCAGCTCCTGATTGGTGCGCCAAGTGTGCCATAATAGTAATTGAGAGCCTTCTCGACCATTGGTTGCACACCTAGGACAGGATTGAACACGACGGAAGGGAGACGAGAAAGCGAAACAGAAAACACATACGTGAAACGTAACAAATATTTTAGAATACTAAATTAAGTATGCAACTTTTATTTCATGCAGACTTTTTTTATGATGTCACCAAACTTTTTCTTATTTTTTTGATTTTTGTCTCAAATTTTTATAGTATCACATGTTAAGAAAGCAAAAACTAGAAAACATAAAAACTAGAAGTGTATAATATAGTTACGTATAATATAATAATAATAATATACACCCGGTGTGATCTTCTGCTGCTGTAGCCCATCTGCCTCAATGTTGGACATGTTGTGCATTCAGAGTACGGTTGTAACGAGTGGTCATTGGAGGTACTGTTGCCTTTCTATCAACTCAAACCTGTCCATTCTCCTCTGACCTCTGGCATCAACAAGGCATTTGCACGCACAGAACTGCCGTTTACTGGATATTTTCTCTTTTTTTACTATTATCTGTAACCCCTAGAGATGGTTGTGCATGAAAATCCCAATAGATCAGCAGTTTCTGAAATACTCAGACCAGCCCATCTGACACCAGCAACCATGCCACATTCAAAGTCACTTAAATCACCTTTCTTCCCTATTCTGATGCTCTGATGTTTGAACTGCAGCAGATCGTCTTGACCATGTCTACATGCCTAAATGCATCGAGTTTCTGCCATGTGATTGGCTGATTAGAAATTCGCATTAACGAGCAGTTGGACAAGTGTACCTTATAAAGAAGCCGATGAGTGTAAGCCAGGAATGGTGACCCATAACTGTATTTCACACACCCAGACTAGTGTATAATGGTGATGATGATAATGATAATAATAATAATAATAATACGTCACGTGGGGCAGTGGGTAGCACGATTGCTTCACAGCAAGAAGGTCGCTTGTTCAAGCCTCAGCTGGGTCCGTTGACATTTCTGTGTGGAGTCTGCATGTTCTCTTCATGTTGTCATGGGTTTCCTCCGGGTGGTCTGGTACAGGTGAATTGGGTAGGTTAAATTGTACGTATAGTGTATGTGTGTGAA